GTGCCCCGCGCGCACGCGCCAGGCGCAGGCGCCAACGCATTTTACACGTGTAAAGTTACCAGCCTCGAGCTGATCCCTATCCCTAAGTTTGACACGTTAAAAGGTGATGGCAATCTTGGGGAGGCGCCCTCAAAAAGTAGGGGAATCCCTACGATGGGCATCGTGGTGAGGAGATGCCCAGCATAGGGATAGGGATATGTCCCAGGCTGGGAATAAAGAATCCGTCGAAAAGAAGTTGGGTGCCCCCCTGGGGCCGTGGACGCGTGACAACTCTTTTTTTTCGATCTGCGGGGCGAGAGCGAACCTCGTCCGATAGATGCCAAGCGGGCCGCGCACAGCGTTGATTAGAGAGGGAGGGGGCAAAAGAAGGCGGGGCCTCACGTCAAGGCCGGGAGGGGGCGAAGCCCTGGGATCAGCGGACGCGTGAAAACACGTGACCCGTGCGCACGCCTCCAGCGCCTAGTTACTGGGTCCCCCCCCTCCTCGCTCGTTGTTTGATCGTTTCAAGAATCCGCCGACCAGGGGTTGGGTCCCCCCCCTCTGGTGGCCGCGGCCCTGCGCGCACGCGCCAGGCGCGGGTGCCCCCCCCCCCCCCCTCCGCGCATGCATTTTCTGGTGTAAGGCGTCCGTCGGCTAGAAGTCCCCCCCCCCCCCCTGGCGTGGACACGTGAAAACACGTGCTCCTCGCGCACGCGCCAGGCGTACACAGTATCAGTGCGCGGGGTCCCCCCCTTCCGCGCGCGTATTTACCCTCAGAAGGAGTCCGACGACCAGACGTTGGGTGCCCCCCTGGTGTGCCCGTTATGGCGAGAGGCATGTGCAGACGCATGCCGAGACGCATGTGGGAGGCCCCCCCCCCTTCGAAGTTGTATCTGTCAGGTTCCGACGCCTGCTGCTCGACACCCTTCTGGTACAGGGCCGCATGTTCGCCAACGGAAGGAGAACCGTGGGCCAGAGCCCCTACCTGGAAAAACGGCCGAAGCGAGTACCCTCATTTCAGGGCCCCATTCCCCCTCAGTGCGGAAGCCGGCACGCGAGGTCGCATTCACCAGCGGCGAGCACGTCCGTATTCGCGCCCTCGCGGTCTGGACTCCGGGACGCGATTCCCGCGGACACGCGGTCGCACGGATGCGTTCCGCGCAGGGCATCCGCGAAACAGATCCTTGTATCCGCGGGGTCGCGGCCCAGGGACCTGGCCCGCGAGAGCGCGGATACGGACATGCTGTTCCGGAGAAGGAGAGACTGCATAGAGCCGTTCGATTGTCCGCACTGATTTCTTGGATGAGCGCTGGGCCCCCCTGGCGGCGCCTCCAGAGCCGCCCATGGCGCGCTCCGCGCGACAGTGAGGGACGTTCCAGCGCAGATCAAATAACTCCGCGCGCACCTGCGAAAGTGCATGCTTTTGTTTTTGCGTCATATGGTTTTGTTTCTCGCCCCCGGCAGATGCCCAATGTGTGGGGAATGGAGGGGGAGAGGAGCAGCAAATAATGATGGACAATATGGGAACACTGGATATTGTAGAGACCCAGAGATCCGACGTCGTGTTTTTTCAACACGGGGTCCCCGGAAGTCTCCCCCCATTCCCCAGGACCTGCTTTTCATCCCGAGTCGTTTTTTGACGGTCCCAGGGCCCGGCGAGGGCCGCTGGAGGCCGAACATCGAGAACAACGCCCGTCTTGTTTTTTTCCCATGCGTTGGAGGTCTGGGTATACCCTTGGCCCCTTCAGCAGCGGTTGGCAGGGTACCCCCCACGCAGCCTCTGCTTCCGGAGCGGGCCGCGCGCGGCGCCCCCCCCCGCGCGCCAGGTGCTCGGAGTGCAGCCCGTCGTCCGCCTGGTGCTCAGGCCGTGCCCGCGCCCCCACCCGGGGCGCAGAGGGGGCAGTGGTGCGGGGGCTCGAGGATTCTCGCTCCCAGGCGCTCCCATCCGCTCCCAAGAGCTTCCAGGCGCTCCCAAGCGCTCCCGGGCGCTCCCAGGCGCTCCCAGGCGCTCCCAGGCGCTCCCAAGCCGCTCCCGAGCGCTCCCAAGCGCTCCAGGCCATCGGGCGTTCCCAGGCGCTCCCAAGCGCTCCCAGGCGCTGCCAAGCGCCCCCGGGCGCTGGCGGCGCGGCGGCTGGCGGCGCGGCGTGTTGCGCAGCTCCCCTGGGTGCCCGACCCAGTCGGGGGCCTCCTGTGGGCGCCTGCGGCGGCGCTGGTCGCCCTAGCCTGCTCGTAACAAAAAAGGTGCGGGGCTCGAGGATTATCAGGACGTCTGTTAGAGCACAATGCGCGCGCGCGTGTGAGTTTATACCAGTTTGAAGCATATCCCTATCCCTATGTTTGGCATCACCTCATTTCGGTACCAACCTGAAGGGTTCCCTCCGTTTCTGGGGGCCGACGCCTAATAGTGTCACCGCTCTTGGCTTGCCCAGCTTAGAGACAGGGATCCGTTCGAGGCTGGTTAGAGTGTTCGCCCCGTCTCCCCGCTCCTCTCCTTCCCGTCACCCTGTCACACCTACCGCCGCCGCTCCCCTCGCGCCTGCCCCCCGCGAGTGATGCTGCCGATCCCCAAAGGAGCGGATCCCGTATCTCCATGCCCCGAGACCTGCACCGATCCCGCGCGTCTCTTCGCCCGACCTTTGCCCTGCCGCGCCGCTGCGCGCGTGGCCGCGACGCCAAGAGGTGTATGGTTACCCCTTTTTTTTCAGCTTCGCCGCTAGCACGCAGCCGATGGCGGTTCTGACACACCGCCAGCGTCGTACTGAAGGGCTCTGGCGGGCAATCACACATTGGCCCAGGCACGCGTTCCGAGAATCGAGTGCCGCCTCCGCGGCGCACAGCGCGAGACAGGAGCTCTCATGGGGAGGCAATTGTGAGGATACCGATGCTTTTTCGAGGTATATCGCAGCTAGCTTTCAGCCGAGGTTTGTCATCCGTGGGAAAGTTAGACAAACGCTCCTATGTTGACTTTGGAAACAAGGATGTCCAGGATGCAGGGATGCACTATTTAGACGATTGCTTCGTCAATGTTGTCATACGACAACCCAACTGCAGAACGACTGGGCTACCTTCATATTTCAACTCCCGAGTCGAACACGCTACTTGGCATGATCACCACAAAAAGATCTTCCACATATCAAGTTATGGTGGTAAGCCTGCTATACGTGAGAACGGTCTTCGACGGTTTTATGTACGAGAACAGCCAGTGGTATTTGGGTGGATCAGATACCACCATGGACCACATCGGCCAAATTCAAGGGCACTTGCAAGGTGAAGTTGGATCAATGTACGACCAGCTCACGCAATTCTCATGGGGTATTGAGACGAAAACCCACCGAGATCATGGCCAACCACCGCCTTCCATTAACACCTTTTGAACGAAGACGATGTGTTTGTCATCATCAACACACGTCGGTGTGTAACAAAGAAGTGTCCATGGCTACGCATTATACTCCAAAGATGCAGTCTCTTTTTGTCGACGCAGTTATCCCTTTCATGGTCACCCTTATCATTCCACCGTGCTAGTCACCAACGTGAGGGGATATGATTTGGACGATCCACCCATCCTTCGACAACCCGACGGCTCGTTCACGAGACCGCTCTCGGGAGGGCTAGGATGTCCTGCGTGCGCGGATAATGTTAACATGCGCTCTCCCTCACATGTCAGAAATCCCAAGCATTGCAGGTGGCACGATAAGGAAGACTACGATTTGGAATGTCCGAGCTGTAAGAAGAACTACGGCCAGAACAAGCCTGTGCATGTACGGACACCTGGCACATGCAAGTTTGCCAAGCTTTGGAAGCTGCTTGAAAATCACGGAAAGGTACCACCGGCTTCTGCCGAAGCAGCAGCACCACCACCCGAGGCGCAAGCCGCACCACCACTTGTGCGGCTACGAGCACCAAGACCCGGCTCTAGAGCCGGACCCACGGCGGGTGCCAGCAGCCACGATATTACAGTAGGCAGACATGCTGCTGAACCAACTGCAGGGCAACGTGCCTCGAGCGGAGCTGGGAGTTCGGATGACCACATCCGACTGCCACAGGTCAGAATCAGATTTTGCCGACAGCAAGGAGGAGGTCCACCTCCACCGCCACCAGCGGCTAATCCTGCTGCACGACCACGACTTTCAGACTGGTCAAGGTTCGACGTACAAAGCAGTCTACAAAACTTACGAAGCCTTGACCCAAGCGTGGTAACACGCGAGCTGCGGAAACTACACTTGCGTCGGTCCCATGCGAAAGAGCCTGAGATGAGACTCGTCTTAACCAAGATCGGTCTGGACAATGCCAGACTCAAGATGGTCAAGGGTGTCTGCGACACACGTCGGGAGTGCAGGGCTTGGGACAAGCCTGGGCATACGGTTATGTCATCTACTCCACTCCCTGGCAAGTTAAACGAAGAAGGTAAACGTTATCTCATGTTCGACAAACAAGGACATAACATAGTTCAGACCATCGGTCGTTGCATTCGATATGCTACTGGAATGGAGATACCAGACAAGACGATGACCAGCATCCTGGATGCATACCATCAGTGCTGGATGCAGTTTGGACCTGCTAAGGTGCTCTACTCCGATGGAGAGGGTGCCCTCAACAACGACAAGGCGAAAACAGTCCCTAAGGCAAAGGGCACTGAACTGAGGATACGTGCGCGTGGGCAACACGCTACGACGATCGAAGCCAGAAATGGCAGATTGCGCCATCTACTTCATGTCGTGGAAGCTGAACTCAACAGGTTAGCCATACCTCATGCGTTCGCACGACTACTGCATCAGGCCTTGTTCGCCGCCAGCGCGTTCACCTTCTAAAATGGGGTGCCTCCACGCAACGCCCTGTTTGGGCGGCAACCGGCAATGCTCCCTGACTTGCCGATCTTGGATCACGAACAGCCGACGGAAACGTCGGATCATTCTCGTGAATAGATGATACGCAAAGTACGCATTGAAGCTATCGCACAGGCCATTGCAGTAGCCAAGACCAATCGCGCATTACGCACGAAGACAACTGTCACCGTGCATCATTACTACGACGAAGGAGACTTAGTTGATTACCATCGCCCCACAACCACGGAGGGCGACCGGGGGAGCTGGAATGGTCCATCCCCAGTCGTAAGGAACGGCCCCGAGAGGCGTCAAGTCATCATTCGAGTGGGAAGCCGCGACGTTCAGGTACAATGCGGCGATGCACGGCATTCGCTCTATATTGAAGCTTTGATCGCCAGAGTAAGTGGCTCCGACAACACTGCGTTACTGACAGCGTTGACGTTCGTGGCCAGTTTACCTGCGGGGGGGCCTTCTATGAAATTTGGCGATGTCCCGACCGAGAAGGGGGTGCTTCAGATGACAAGTGCAAGCCGACTTTCTCCTAAGGTACATGTGGCGCTACAGTGCCTCATCAGAAACTTCTTCCGCGCTGGGAACGTAGATTCGGTTAGGTGAGCCAGGAGTGCCCATGGGCTACCTCCTGTTTCTTGCGCTGACACTTGCACATTGGTCCTTTATGACAACAATGTGAATCCAGGATTTCAATATTATGAAGCAGACGGCGCCGCTCTTAACATTCATGATATAACTGGATCGGCACACTCTAGAATCATCCAGTGCCTGAAGCCCACCAAACCTCAAGGGGTCTTTGACCAGGATATGACAAAGTTTGAGAAATTGGCAGATGTACCGACACCGGATGGAACCGTAAGAGAAGCCTCAGAAGCCGAACCACCACGGGAGGATGGACGGCTTCCCACGATTCATGGGGGATCGGATGCTGACCTCTAGGCGCGCGTTATGGAAGTGCGGTATACAGAACTACAAAATGAAAGGGAACTACTGGAGGCACCTCCACTAGAGGATCTTTTCGCAGTACCCACACCTATGATACCAGGCAGTAGCGCGCTGATCACTGTAGCTGAAGAACAGCGGGGGCACCTGCCTAAGTGGGGGCACCCACGCGACTCCGACATCGAGGAGGCGTATCATGCACCATTGTGTTCCAGGGTCGAAGATTGCAGTTGCGGACTGGACTCAGACGAATATGGGCAATCTGTAGAATTCTGCTTCGCGGCAGACATGTCAGAGGTAGTCATTTCCGAACAACAGCATGGGATATTAGATGCCGGCCGCGTGACCACCGTATATGTTGCCGCCGCCGCGAAGCGAGCTACGGTCGTCAAGGGAGACGACCTCTTCGCGAAGGCTGACATCCAGGCGAACCCCGAGAAAGCATCGAGTGCCCTATGCACTGAACTCAAGACATGGTTTGACGACAAGTGCTTCACGATGCAAGACACATCTAAAGCGTCAAACATCATGGTTTCGAGGTGCGCGCGCAAATGGAAGTTTGCGAAGAACGAGACTGGCGACATGGAACGCACCATCAGATTACGCTTGGTGCTTCGAGGCTTCATGGACCTTGAAGCCTTTGGCGTGGAAGCCTCTTCGGGCACAGCGCGGCGGTCAAGCCAAGGGCCACTCGCGAGCACAGCAGCGTGCAAGAATCAATGGAACGTTGACCTGGCGTGAACTTGCTGAGGCAGCTGGTGACAAGGAACGCGTGGCGGGTTTGATTTCGCCGCCTGGATCGGCCACGGCGCTTCGAACCCCCCCAGGATTTGAACGCTACGACGAGTCGAAGCACTGGTTGCAGCGCTTTAAGCCAGGCGCCGGCACTACAGACGCACCCCGAGCTTTCTCACTAAAGTTCAGACGGGCCACGAGAGGCTTGGGTCTCAGACCCGCGTCCTGCGACGAGGATTTCGAGACAGGCAGTAACCTACTCACGGCCAAACATGTTGATGATATCAATATGGTCGGCACTGAGGACACCGTTGGCGAGTGTGTCAAGTGCGTAGAAGACACCTTTGGTAAGTGTAAACTCAACAAGCACACGCGCGCCAATCTTGCTGTGAGACGTACCAAGGATAAGGGTGGCAGTGTTATTTTGGACCAAGACGAATACATCAAGCAGCTCCGTCCTATACAACATCCTGAACTTGCCGGCGCCGACGCCGGCGCTCAGGTATCCAAGATGGTTGCAGATATGTTCGTCAGCCTTAGAGGCGCACTGGCGTATGCATTAATCACCCAGGTGTGATTGATGGCGCATGCCGTTTCTCTACAACGCGTCCAAGAACCGACCAATACGAGTGCGACGACTGAACGCGAGTACCAGGAAACTGCAGGCATGCATTAAGAAGATCGTCTACCAGGCGATGACCCCTACGGGCAAGGTTGACCTGCGCAGCGACTCAGGTTACCGACGCCTGAGTGGAGACGCCGACGACGAAGTCAAATGCCATGGCGTTCGCATGGCAAACCTGCTACGGCGTGGAAGCACGCCATCTGGCAAGCCCGTCGTTCACTTGATCGATGCGCGCTGCAAGTCTCACCGCTTGGAGGTCCGCTCGAGTTATTCAGCAGAGACACTAGCAGCTGCCCGCAGCTCGAAGGACAGGCATCCCACGATCGAGACTCTGCACGAGCTCCACGCAGGGCCGTTATTTCCCATTCAGTGAAAAGACATGCTTGAGTTGGGTGGCCTGAACATCAAGGTCGCTTTGGCCATAGATGCTGCGTCTGTTTTAAAGTCCTTGTCAAGCAACGACTTGAAGAAGCCGACTGATTGCACCCTTTTAGGACACATCAGCTGGATATGACAGATGATGGAGCGAGGAAGCGTGCACAGTATTCAGTGGTGCGACACCCGCGATACGACTGCGGACGGTCACACCAAGGGGGGCATCGACGGATAAATGCCCCTACAGGTCATGGGAGGTACACAGTCCTCCAAACATGATTTAAAGCGTCATACTCCCTATCGGGCTGGCCAGACATCTCGTTCTGTAGCCGCCTGAGGAGCATTCGTGTGCACAGTATAGTGCAGGCAAGGCAGCTTGCGCGTGGGTCCACCTTCCTTACGGCCCCGCCCTTTTGCTGCCTTTTTTTGTGAATCGTCGTTGCTGTACCTGCTGTATAGAGGCGGCGGGTTCACGCCTCGTCTCCCTCTCCCCCCGACTCTAAAAGTGAGTTGGGCGTTGCATGTGAGTGGGGACGAGCGTGCATCCGCGGCTGCTGGGCTCAAAGTGGCTTGCCGCCCAGATCTGACTACACCTCAGCGCGAGGTGTACCATTTGCCACCGATACCACATCTGCTTGAGATGACATGCCCCCTACTATTGGGACTATCTTCACTACGGTACAGCAGAGCGGGAGCTGGGCCTCGCCTAAGGCGAAGCTGCTGGTTGGGCCTCCCAACCCCTTTCAAACTAGGTGTGTGTGTGTGTGTGTCTGTGTGTGTGTGTGTGTGTGTGTGTGTGTGTGTGTGTGTGTGTGTGTGTGTGTGTGTGTGTGTGTGTGTGTGTGTGTGTGTGTGTGTGTGTGTGTGTGTGTGTGTGTGTGTGTGTGTGTGTGTGTGTGTGTGTGTGTGTGTGTGTGTGTGTGGGGGGGGGGGGCGCTCTTTCGGGGGTCTCTTGCCTGATAAAAAATAATTCGGAAAATATCATCGGCGCCTTTTTGCTTTTGACTCCGCCAGTGGTTGTAATGCTCCTCCTCTTCTTCCTCCTCCTCCGCCTCCTCCGCGTCCTCCTACCGCGGCGGTGCTCAGCTTTGCGTGCGCCTCCCCGCCCAAAACAGTCACGGAGTCTGGGAAGCCCTCTCCCTGGCGGTGGTGGATTCAACATTTGCTTGTGCCGAGAGGTTCGAACATTTCCGATGGGCATCATCCCACCAGGCAGTTTTTTGGGAAACCTTTTTTTCCATGGCTCATATTACGCCAACATGTTTAGTCAATCGTTGATTGGTCTCCACGGTGGCCCCTTGCTTGTTGTGGATTACGTGGGGCGTCTTCGAAGGTGTTGTCTCTTAGCCCTTGGTTGGCTTTCCAAGAGCCTCCAGCCAGCGTGGATTCTAGCCGTTCTTTTTTGTCCCGTCGCGATATCTTCCTGCTTTCGTTTATTGAGTTGTGGTAATCAGCCTTTACCGCCTGTCCTTGTTTGATCGCGTTGCGCCAGCAATGCCATGGTTGCCCCCGAAATCCATGGTTATTGTTGCCGTGCTCGAGGCTTGCCTGCGATGTGCGGAGCTTGACGCACAGCTTGAGCAACGTGCGTAACTGTATCGTACAGTGATTGCGTTGCGCGCAATTTCAGAAGTCCCCAGATGCATCCGGAAGTCTCCCTGCGCTCAGAGATGGCCAGCGCAGCCCGTCCCTGTCGCCCCGCCGCCTGCTGGCGACGGCACTGGTAGCAATTCCGAGCGCAAGCACATGCGAGCGCAATTTCATCATTGGACTGCGGAGGGACACGACACATGGTGAACGCGCCCCTCTCGTACACATCGATTTCTGGCTGGCGTGGGAGGTTCTTTCTTCGTCGTGGCGCGCGCCCAGGCCGCCGCCTTTCCCCCTTGTGGAGCTCCGAGCGGGCGTGGCCTCGTGAGACATGACTATCGCCTTGGAGCCGCTCCTGGCCCCTGCTCCTCGCCCCTCCCCCCTGGCATCCGCACCCCCGGCGCGCGCCGCGCCCGCCCCCCGCCGCCACAGCGCGACCGTCTGGGCCGCGACCCGCGGCATCCTGGTCACCGCGCGCGGCGCGCGCCCGGGGACCCTGGAGGCGCCGCCGTGCACGCCCCCGACCGCCCCAGGGGGGGTCCGGCCTGCGGAGGTGGCGCACCGGGCGCTCCGTGCAGACCACCCGCACAGCAAGGCCGAGCGATGTTCCAGGGTTGCCTCAATCCGGGCGTTTCCCCCGCAGGAGGAAGATTCAACAATATAGTCAACAGAAGAGCTTGGAGGCGATGACTATTTCCTGAAGGAATCTCCTGGGGCCGGCCGGAGCCATGTCGGACGGCGGCCGGCCGGCCAGAGTTCCGGTCGACCTGAGCCACACTGGGGATGCGTTCCCAGACATGCGACGATCCCAGACCCCCGACGTCATGAATTTTTCATGACGTTGACCCCCAGCGGTCTGGACCCTTTCCCCGGGACCGGTTCTTCGTCCCGAGTCGTTTTTTGACGGTCCCAAGGGCCGGTAAGGGCCCCCAGAGGCCAAAAATAATGAAGAACCTCCTGTCGTGATTTTTTCATACCTCGAGGGGGTCTGGGTTCCGATGTTTTCAATCCTGGAAGTCCGGGCTCTTTCCCCGTGGCCAGTTGTTCATCTTGAGTCGTCTTTTGACGGTCCCGGGGCCCGGCGAGGGCCCCCAAGGGCCGAAAAATAGTGAGACATCGGCCGTCCTCTTTTTTAACGGCGCGAGCATGTCTGGGGTCGACCTAAGCCACACTGCCAAATCCCGCCACCGTGCCTGGGTCGTTGACCAGCAGCCCCTGAGAGGCTTCTTGGGGCCATAGGTATGGGGCGCCTCCAGGAAACCTCTTTTGGACGTCTCGGGGGTCTCTTGGAGGCTTTGATGGCCCTCTGGGGGCCTCTTGGAGGCCTCTGGGGGCCCCGTGGTGACCTCTAGATGGCGTCTTTCCGCTTGGAGGCTGTCCCAGGGATCATATCAGGGCAAGAAGTTCCACACGTCAGTTCGTTTTCCCTTCGTTGGGCTCCTCTTGGGGCCGTTTTCGGGGCCTCCTGGGCCCCCTCTTAAGGGCCGCCCCTGGGCGAGATTGAAAGCATGACGGTCCAAGAGGTCCCCGATGTATCGACGATCCCAAAGGAAGTAAGGAGAATGCACCCCAAACCACGCTTCCACGGCCTCGGGAAAGTCATGCGAAAAGCTCCTGCCGCGCCCAACAATTCCAGGTATATGAGCCCTGGGCCCATTGAAGGGTACCTGCGATGTTTTGCAAAGGGAACTCGAAGGGACCTGGCGACTCGTCACTCAGTCCCTGGCGGCACGGTGGCGGATGAGCGATGCAGTATGGGTTGTGCAACATGTGTGATACAGCTCACATCACTCATTTCTAATTCTTCGAAAACGATTTGAACTTTGGAGGGACAAGATCCTTTCATTTCTAAGTGTTCTATCCTGGGCCTCTTCCTGGCCACGAGGGGGCCAGGAGCAGATCGAAACGAGCACAATTAGCAATGAGCGCGATTAGAAATGAACGACGTGTATCTGTGGTACAGTCTGTGGCCATGGACCAGATGTGTGGTGCAATCAAGATGCAACACGGGTGCGGGGCCGCTCCGCTGCAAAAACACAGTCACGTGCGGGGTGCTCAATGGCGTACGTTGCACCGCGACGTAACAAGGATGCCTTCGGCCAACTTAACTACGCTTACTGATTCGGAGTTGTGATGGTGATGTAGTTGACACCCGCCTTGTGTTTCGGGATTCCTATGTGAGATGTGAGAAGGAAGCTAGCACTTGCATGATTCACGTGCTACTTGTTCTGTAGGAGCGTCCCGCGGATGAAGTGATGGACATGCCCCCACTGCGCCGCCATTATACTACCTGCAGCGCCCCTGTAGCTCGATGGCATGCTTGAAAGCAGGGGTCCGTCCAGCTCTACATGATCCCCTGCAGCGGCCCTGCAGCGGACTGGCCGTTGAAGGCAGGTGCTCGTCGTGCCTTACTCCTCCTGCTCCTCCTCGCAAAACAAGCGCTCCAAGAGCAAGGTGTTGGCACAGACGCGTGGCCAGGCGCACTTGCCAGTGAACGGAGTAGTGGGTAGGATTGTTGGAGGGGGGAGTTCGGGATTTCTAGCAGTCAGCCAGCACGGTGCACCGATCCAGGAGTTGCACATCTGCCGGCTAGAGTTGTGCGTGTGTGTGTGTGTGCGTGTGTGTGTGTTTGCGTGCGTGCGTGTTTGCACGTGCACGTGCGGTTTATGTTGCCGCCGTCATGTGGCCTCGCGCTTTTGCTTGATTCGACGTAGATGCAGCCCCCGCCAGTGGCCGAGTACCGTCAGGCCAGCTGTGGCTGCTCCTCTTCGCGAGGACGCACCCCCGCTCGCTCCGAGTCAGCTGCAGCTCCGAAGCAGCTGCGGCTGCATACCCCGCACGCCCGCGCCCAAAGCGCAGAGACTCTGGCGCAAAGATCGGCCCGGACGAAAGGGGGGGATTGGGAAAGGGGGTGTTACGAAATTTGCTGCATGCAGCTGGTTTCGGCCCCACCGAGGGGCCCATTCTTCGATACATAGCCGCCTCCGGCGCCGGGAGGCGCCGGGAAAATCAGCTACGTGAGCTGATTCTCAGAGCCCCCCTCTGCTATCCCCCCCTTTCGCCCGACCCGAAGAGACTCCTGGAACACCGGGGCAGGAACAAGGATGGTGCAACATTCGGGGTTCAATACAGTCGATCTTGCTCTGTGCGCATGCGGTGCCGTCAGCACGGAGTGCTCCACATCAGAGGCACCCACCATGTGGCGCCAAGGGTGCCCACGGCGGCGACGCGCCAAACACTTGGCAGATGCCTGCAGCCCCACAAGGCATCGAGCGAGCTCACCATGGGGGGCCACGGGGCACCACAGGGCACCGAGCCGCCCACGGCGGCCAAGAGGCGAAAACTCGGCAGGCTCCTCCAGTTCATTGGGCCCGATGGGCGTGCACGGCGGCTCCGAGCGGAACCCCTGGCCCGTTCCCTCACTTGGCTAAGACAAAGCATAATGGCCCCGAGTGCAGCCACTGTGTGGGAATGCACGGGTTGACCATCTTCACAACCTGTTTTTGCAGGTGGCGCGTGATGCTCCTACAGTAGTTTTTGTTGCTCGAGGATCTGAGCATGGGTGGCCTCTGGTGGATACGGCACCACTCGGAATCATGCCCAGGACATGGGATGAGGACGAATCTCTGCCTCTGTTTTTCGTTTTGCGTGCGTTGGCCTGCGTTGTGATACCATGGACCGCCTGGCTGCTCTGGCGGATACGGTCAGTGTTCTGTCGCAAAGTTCAGCAATCCAAGATGGAAGCTCGTGCAAGGGAGCCCAGGAAACGTCAACGAGAAAAGACACCAGCGGTATCTAAGGACCATGGTTCCGACGAAGAGCAACCACAGGTGCAGCTGAGCAATTTCACACTTGGGTTTTATTTCAGAGCGTTGGTATTGATTGCGTTGTGGGTGTGGTTGGTTGCTGTTGGCAGACAATATCGCGCAGCAGTGGCCCAAAACAAGTTATACGAAGGCTTTGACCCATATGACATACTTGGCGTGGACAAGTCTACTAAGTCAGCCGAACTGAACAAGGTCTATCGGCGAGAAGCCTTCAAGTACCACCCCGACAAGAATTCAGCCCCAGAGGCCGTGCAAAAGTTCTTATCCAGCTGCCTGCGGCAAGTCCCGCCACCGTGCCAGCCCAACATTCTGGGTGGAGATTTTCGACGGGGCACAGGAGGCCGTCACCTGTGAGACCCCGTGTTCCCAGTCTTGGGGGATCCGTGATGATGATGACGATGATGATGGTGATGGTGATGGTGATGGTGAGGGTGATGGTTGTTACCATGCTACTCATGATGACGTTGACGATGAGGATGGTGCTAATGCTGATGATGCTGTTGTTGTTGTTGATGATGATGATGCGGATGGGGGCGATATTGGTGGTGGTGATAAAGATGAAGATGATGCTGATGATGATGGTGGTGATGATGATGGTGGTGGTGATGATGATGATCACGATGAAAAGGAGAAGGATTATGATGATAATAGTGGTGATGACGATGATGATGACGATGACGATGATGATTACGCATGATGATGACAGTGATGATGGTGATAATGATGGCAGCGATGAGGATGATGATGATGATGGTGACGATGACGATGACGAACATGATGATGCTGATGATTATGATTTAAATGTTTAGTTTGATGATGCTTATGATGTCCATCATAACAATCATGTTCCTGGTCATGATGATGATGAGGATGCTGATGGCGATGATGAGGCTGGTGCTGCTGCTGATGATGATGATGATGATGATGATGCTGCTGCTTCTGCTGCTAGTGATGATGATGACGATGCTGATGATGACGATGCTGATGATGATGCTGATGATGATGATGCTGATGATGCTGATGATGATGCTGATGATGATGATGATGATGATGATGATGGTGCTACTGATGATGATGATGGCGATGGTGATGATGATGTTGATGATGCTGTTGCTGCTGTTGCTGCTGTTGGTGTTGTTGGTGATGATGGTGATGGTGATGGTGATGGTGATGATGATGCTGCTGCTGATGATGATTATGATGATGATGATGCTGATGATGATGATGATGATGATGATGATGATGATGATAATAATGCTGATGGTGATGGTGATGGTGATGGGGATGGCTTGGATGAGGAGGAGGAGGAGGAGGAGGATCAGGAGGAAGGTGACGAGAAGGCCGTCACATGTGACACACCTCGTCTGCACCAGTTGAGGAGCCCTCATGGAACTCGTTTGGACCGTATTGTGGCTGCCTTAGCCTCCTGTGGGGCAGTCTTGGGGGGCCCTCGGGTTCCTCTTGGGCCGTTTTGGGGCCCTCTCAGGGTGCCATGGGGTTCTTTTTGGCCGTCGTGGGGGCCTCGTGGCCGTGTGGTGGATGCTTTGGGGGGCCATTTTTTGGCGCCGTCTTGGGCAGTCGAAGGGCCTTCTAAGGCCGCCTTGGGTTTCACGGGAGGCCGTCTTGAGGCCATATTGGGCCGTCTTGGGGCCAACATGGGCCGTTTTGGAGCCATGTTGAGCCGTCCTGGAGGCAGATTGGCCTCAGGGGCGCGGATTCGTCGTAGTTTGCAAGGGAGTGTGGTTCCAGGAACGCGGATCGATTTTTCTGTTACTAGTGATTGCGGCTTCCAGAGGGGGGGGGGGATCATGCGGGGCAGCGTGATGAGAGGAGGGGTCACTGCTACGATTACAGAAACCCTTCCATGCAGCACTTGGCATCCTTAGCAGGCCCCACAGTGCCAGGGAGCACGGTGGCGGATTGGTCAGAAAGGCTTACGACGCGCTCACAGATCCAGAAACCATGGATAACTTCAAAAAATTTGGAAACCCAGATGGGCCGCAGTATGTCCAGTTGTTTGCTTTTGCCAGCTTCATTAAAGATAAGGAGGCGTCACGCGTCGATGGTAAGCTGAGGTACAAGCCTGTTTACTTCCGTTATGCCGACATCCAGGTGCAGGCGCTGGCTATTGTGGTCTCGCTGCTCAGCCTCGTGTTCTTTGCAAGCGTCGCGTAGACGGCAACGATGCAGTCCAGGTGCACCGCATGTCTAGTGATTTGCTTCCGCCAGCTTCATTAGAAAGACTCAGAGGCGTCACGCGTCGATGGCAAGTTGAGGTGCAAGCCTGCTGACTTCCGTTCTGCCGACATCCAGGTGCAGGCGTTAGCCATTGCAGTCTCGGTGTTCAGCCTTGTATTAGTTGCAAGCGTCTCGTAGACGGCAAAGAAGCAGTCCAGGAAGCCCTCACTTCCCTCCCCTCCCCTGGCCCCTCCTTCCTCTCTCCCAGTCGATCTCATCCTCGCCCTCCTTTCCACAGTCCTTCGCTCCCCTCCTCCCTGTTCCTCCCCCACCCGCCCGCCTACCCCTCCACCCGTGCTTCCTTCCCTCCCTCCTCCCTGTCAAGGCCCACCCCCACCCTGCAGGAGGGAGGAGGCCGCAGCCAGAATCCGCTCAGGCTTGTTCCGCAGACGCCTCACTGCAGGTCCATCCTGGCCCGTCCTCCGAACCGCGTCCAGCTGCGGTGACGAGTGCCCTCGCGGAATGCCTGGAGGACGTGCAGGAGGAGGAGCAGGAGGAGGAGGAGGAAGAGGAGGAGGAGGGGGAGGAGGAGGGGGAGGAGGAGGAGGGAAGAGAAGGGGAAGAGGAAAGAGGAAGAGAGGAGAAGGATGGAGGAGGTGGAGGAGGTCCCTCCTCCCTCCCGTGACTGGGCCTGCTCGTGCGCCACAGCCTGCCCGCGGGCCAGACCGGTGGGTTCGCGGCGACCCCACCTCTCTCTGGTACTGTGTTCCTCCGTCTTTGTCCCGACGACCGTTCCTCATCATCAACATTATCCTCGTCCTCGTCGCTGCCAGCACCATCATCACCACCACCACCATCATCATCATCATCAGCATCATCAGCAGCATCATCAGCAGCACCGTTATCATCAGCAACATCGTCAGCAGCATCATTCGCATCGTCAGCAGCAGCACCGTCGTCCTTGGCTTCGTCGTCATCACCACCGCACCAACGTCATCGTCATCCGCGTCATCGCCACCGTTCTGCGCCTCCTCATTCCCCTCTGCATCATCATCCTCTCCCTCCTCCTCCTTTTCCTCCTCCTCCTCCTCCTTCCCCCTCCTCCTCCTCGTCGATCGAGCCCTACACCCAGGACCCGAGCTGGTGGGGGCCGAGGGTGATGCCAGACCGGCTCCTCCTCGTCCTCTTCCTCCTTCTCCTCCTCCTCCTCCTTTTCCTCCTCCTCCTCCTCCTCCTCCTCGTCGATCGAGCCCTACACCTAGGACCCGAGCTGGTGGGGGCCGAGCTTCATGCGGGACCCGTGAGCGCCACAGGAGCGGCACCCCCGGTAGACGGCACCCCGTTCTCCTCGGGCCCCCGTGGCTCTGACACGGCGCGGGCCTCTGCGGAGCGGATCGCTGCTGGCCGCTCTCTGATGGTCCCAGGGCCGGGGGGCGCGTCGCTGGAGATTTGTTTTAGGGTCCCGCTGGCGCGCGGCAGGCCCGATGCGTTTGCCGGCGTGCAAGCATCCTGCTGCGCCACCGCCTTGCGGCGGCCCTGTTGCGCACGCGTGTGGGAGTCGAGTTTGGCTTGGTCCTGGATGGGAAGGGGAAGGAACAAAAAAAAAAAATCCCCCCAGGATAACCTAATTTGCCGGTTGTGCAGGCCCGGGGTTGGGGGGCGCGGGCACATGCAGGGCTGCCCACAGCGCGAAGGTTAGGTTATCGGCCGGGTTATCGCCGATTCAAAAAGCATGTCTTTTACATGCAAGAGTGACCCTTCGCCAGGCTGCCCCTCTGTAGCTCTCGCGGGCGGCCACGATGGGGGTGAGGACCAGTGGTGGCACGAGATCTCCCGAGACTTCTTGGCGCCTCTTCTTCTTCTTCTTGCTGCGCTGCGTCCCTGGCAATCCCCTGGGCCGCGCACATGCCGCCAGCCATGATTTGCGCCCCACTCTCCTGGACCCCCCTCCTCTTGCCCCCCCCCCCGAAATTCCGTCTTCAGAGTGCGCTAGCGTCGATTAGCGTCTGGCAATCGATGAGATAGCGCCCGTTTCGCGTCTAACGTCGATTAGCGTCGACTAGCGTCGACTAGCGTTGACTAGCGTCGATTAGCGTCGATTCGCAACTGCCTGCAAGATGGTATGGGAGGCTCCAGTGAGTTTCCACCAGAGGGCACGGGTACGCGAGTGCGGGTGCCCGAAGAGCCAAAAACAGAACGGCATCGACACATCTTTTCTCGGAGCTCCGCGCGGCTCCCCTGGCGCCGATCCCAAAAACATGCGCGGCACTCCGAGAAATTATTGATCGATGCCGTTGTTTGGTTCCTCCAGGAGTGGGTGCGGTCCCGCGGAGGGGAAAGTGGCGATCAAGGAGGGTGAGGCATGCCAGTCGATTGATACCTGGCGGGGGGAGGAGGTGAGGTGAGGGTCGGCTACACGCAAGAGTGACCTTTCGCCAGAGTAACCCTTGCTGCGGGCCCCGTGGGGTCCCCGGTCGCTGAATGCGGTGCGACAGCAGTGTCTTGCGCGCCTGGCGTTGTCCCCAAAGGGCCCCATCCCTTCAGTCCGCGCGCCAAAGGCCACTCTTGCCTATGGGGTCACACCTGCGTGTAGCCGACGAGGGGTGGACAGCCTCCCCCGATGCATCCCCGGACGATCCGAGGAGATCACGCGTGAGTGCCCCTTCGCAGTCCTCGGCGTCTGAGGGCCGTTCCCGGGCCGCGGGGCCGTCGATGAGCGGCTCGGGCGGAGAGCTCCAGGGCCCCGCGTCTCCACGGCCGCCTCCGCTTGGGGGGGGCGGGGCGTTGACTGCCTGTGGGGCAGCCAGGGTGCCGCAGGGGGTGGCGGGAGGGAGGTGGTGCGGGGTGCGTTCTCTGGGCGGCGTCGGAGGAGGAGGAGGAGGAGAAGTCGTGGTATGGATGAGCAGGAGGCGGAGCAGGCGTCGGAGGAGGAGGAGGAGGAGGCAGAATAAAAGGAGCAGGTGGAGGAGAAGTCGTGGGATGGAGGAGGTTGGGGACGAGGTGGAGCGAGGAGCGGGAAGAGAGTGGAGCAGCAGCGGGGTGAGGAGGACAGAGAAGGGGAGGAACTACGGTCAGGGACGTTGGCTCAGCGCGTCGCTCTTCCGGTTCTGGCCCACCACGCTTCTGCGTGGCAAGCTATATACGTTCCCATTTCCAAGCGTCAACGTCCCGAACGCTTCCCATCCCCTAACGGTTCCCGACCGCGACTTTCTCTGACGTGTTCTTGTTCCTCTCGCTGTGCATCTGTGGTGATCAGTTGACCTCCCGTCGGCAGGCCTTGGAGGTCGTCGAATTCAACGCCGCGGCACCTCCATCCTCCTATTGCACGGCTGTCTGTTGAAATCACGTTGTGCCCGTGTTTGCTCATCAAGGTCTGCGCTTCATCGATGCAGTATCGTGAGAGGCTCATGATTGCAAAATGTTGGCAGACAGTCGCGCGTGAGCATCGATGTGATCGCCTTCTCACAAGAGGGAGGGAGAGAGAGAGAGAGAGAGATAGAGAGAGAAGCATGATTGATCAGCACCCTACGGCGGAAATCAAACCGCGAACTTGTTGCGGGAGTGTTGGATTATGATCTGCCGATGTGTCCAGACCCCGCTGTTATCATACATATCGTACATACCAATTATATCGAGCTTTGTGCATCAAATCCAGCTACGGTGCGAGCGCAGCAACGAGATTATTTGAGGATGATTATACCCAGCTTTCTGGGAGGTGAGCGGGTGGGGAGAGAGAGGGCAGGGAGGATGGGGAGGAGGAAAATGAGTGACGAGATGCAGTGGCCAAGGACGGGCGGCGGAGGTGGAGGATGAGGGAGAAGAGCCAGTGTAAATCCAAGATTCACCAACGATATTGCATACCCCGTGCCTCCAAGCTTTCTCTCTTCATAGGCTCCTCCACGGATTGATTCATTGTCACTGAGGGAAATGCCCCGTTGGAAGACAACCGTTGGAAAATCCAGAATTGCGCCAGAACGCCGTTTCTGGGACGTCCACGCCACGAATCACCGTTAGTGTTGCGTCTTGGCGATCCTGGATTGTGCCAGAACGCCATTCTTGTGACGTCAAGACCACGAATGATTTTTATTGTTGTGCCCTGGCATTCCGACATCATGCCAAAACACCTTATTTGGGGCGTTAACCATGAGAAGCCTTGGAACTGACGCAAGCTCTGAACACGAATGTGCGGGGCGCTGAGGCGAGAGCCACATTTTGAAAAGGAGCCGCCCTCCATCCGTGAATCTTTTGAGAACGTTTAATACGGATGTGCGCAGTGCTAAGGCGAGAGCCACATTATGAAAACGGACCGCCCTCCATGCGCGAAGCTCTTGCACAAGGTGCGCGGCGCTAAGGCGAGAGCCACAGTTTGAACATGTGTTGTTTTCCATCCGTGGAGCTCTTGCACATCTTTGAGACTAATGCGCGGCGCGCAGGCGATAGTTACATCTTGAACACGGGCCGCCATCCATCCGTGAAGCTCTTACACATGTCAAGTTTCAGGGTCAGAAAGTGTGAGGAAGTATCAGGCGAAACGCCCGGCAACGCCCTTTGTTCTGCAAGGAAAAGGAATGGATGAAGTTGGAGGAGGGAGAAGGAGGTAAAGCAGGGATGCTGAGCGTCAGATTTCCACTTGCGCTGAACTCCCTCCCAGTCCACGGCGCGTTCCGCGTGCGGGGGAGGAGTGTGGGGGGTGGTGGTCAGGCGCTTGCGGAAACCTACCGGGGAGGACGAGGACGAGGAGGGGGGTGACGGACGAGGAGGACGAGCAAGTGGGGAAAGGAGAAAGGACGAGTAGGCGAGGACGAGGAGAAGGGAGGATGGCGAGGAGGGTTGAAAGCGATCATGAGGAGGACGGGGAGGGAAGACTTGTTGTTTTTGAACGGCATCGCCCCCATAGCCTCATAGCCCCAGGGGGGAGGACGAGGACGAAGTGGAGGAGGACGGCGACGGGGAGGAGGACGAAGACAAGGACGGGTAAGGCGTGGAAGACCAGAGCAAGCCCAGGATGCATCCGCGCGTCTGCAAGATGCGCCCCCTCCTGGTCTCAAGCCACCTCCTCACAAGTCCTTGCAGGTATCCTTTCCCGCGGCAGGACGCGCCCCCCCTTGGGTGACGAGCGCCCAGTGGGCCTGTCCCTCAGACGAGATCTCGTCGCCTGCAGAGGGTCCACCGTCTGGCCTTCTAGCTAAGCACAAGCGCCGACGATGAAGTTCAATGCAGAACCCAGAACAGAGCTCAGGTTTCAAGTGGTCAGCCCTCCATACCTGTGAGTGTCGTGCGCATGGAAGTCCTGGCCATCAAGCCCGAGAGGCCCTCAACCGAGAGCCTCCCGCCGTATAAGTTGTATCATGCTTTTAGCGAGCGCGCGAGAATGAGGCGCGAGAGCCGCTTTTCAAGAACGACAAGCCCTCCACTCTTGTAGCCGTCGGAGTTCTTCCAGCGTCGCAAGAGTCAGCTTGTGAGGGGGGGGGGGGCTCCAGCGAAACGCCGTCCGGTGGTGCGGCAGGGGCGGAGTTGTCGATCAGGAGGGGGATGGAGGAGGGGAGGGGGGGGCGCGGGGGAGGAGCAGGAGAAGGAGGAGCAGAAGGAGGAGGAGGAGGAGGAGGAGTAGGAGGAGGAGCAGGAGGAGGAGGAGGAGGAGGAGGAGGAGGAGGAGGAGGAGGAGGAGCAGGAGGAGGAGGAGGAGGAGCCGCCGCTGCCCTCGCAAGGGCCGAGCCGTGGCGGCGCGCGCCCGCACTCCGCTCTTCGGCCCCCGGCCCTCGGCGCGGCAGGCGTTCGCCGACGCCGACGACCCCGCGGACGCGCGGCCACAGCGGGAGTGCCCGATCTGCCTCGAGGAGACGGCCGCCCCGGAGAGCGAGGGAGGAGGGAAGGTCAATACACCGTTTGGGGCTCAAGAGTTGAAATGGGGAAGGGGGACCCGATCCCGCGATCCCGGGCGGGGGGCAGGCTGTGCCCTTGCATTGTGCTGGGCCCCTCCGGCCAGACGGGGTGCTGGGCTGCCCATCGGCGCGCCGACTCTGCCCTCGGGAGCCGTGGGGCGGGGATCAATACAAACGGGAGTCAGCCAAGGAGCTCGATCTTGCAGGATCTTGCGGGGCCAGGGTCGCACTGACCCGGGCTTTGGCGCAGGATCCTGCAGGACCCTGCGCATTGGCCCGGGCTTGGGTGCAGGTTCTTGTAGGAAATTGCAGGATTCTGCAAGGCCTGACTGACCCTGGTCTGGATTGACCCAGGTCAGAGGATCCCCGAGACGGGGGTCGGTCGCTCGGATCGGGCATTGAGGCGGTCCTCGTGCCGTGATGGGGGAGTGGCTCGCACCCCGTGGGCCAGGGGCAACGTAACTCCTACTCCGCACGCCAGCCCCATCAGTGCGAGGAGGGGCGCCCAGCCCTCAGTGCGAGGAGCGAGGGGGGTGCAGGAGGGAGGGGGGAAAAGGGGGCGGGGGCGGGGGAGGCAAGCCAGGCGCGCTGGCGCCATGTCCGACATCTCACCCCTCCCGCCGTCATCGCCTGCCCATCGCGCTGGTACTGCTTCCTCCGTCCGCCGACGCGTGCTGTGCGCCATCGGGAATGGGGAGCTGCGTGCGTTGGAGGAGGAGGTGGCTGCTGAGCAGGAGAGTGAGCAGGAAAACGAGAACGAGATCGAGCTATCCGATGCAGCCGTTGAATGAAAGTTATGTGGCCCTCTGGATTTGCTCACCTTTGCTCAGCCACTTCAGCAGGAAGGGAGGATGAGGATGGAGGAGGAGGAGGAGGAGGACGACGACGGCGGCGACGACGAACGGCAGCAGCAGCAGCAGCAGCAGCAGGATCAGGAGGAACGGGAGAGGACCAGGGAGGGCGGAGGAGGGAAAAGGGAGTGGGCGACAACGATGAGGAAAGACGCGGGTGCAGAAGGAGGCTCGCGCTGGGGCGAGAGTGCTGCTCTGAACGACGGAAGCAACGCGTCGATCCTAAAATGAGGCCCGCGCTGCAGCGGAGCGCAATTTTGAAAGACCGGAGAAGCGGTGCGCTTCCCACCTTCAACAATTATCGAATTCGGCAACGGCGAATCTCCGCCTCACCCTGGCCTGTTGGGGAGCGCTTCTGTGGCCAAACGTTTGGCGAGAGCTTGGCCAAGCTATTGGGGAACAGTTGGGGGAGGATCGAAGAGGCGGAGGAGGAGGATGAGGAGGAGGCATCCTGGAAGCCTCTTGAGCCACTCTTGGGGCCTCCTGGGAGCTTTCTTGGGGCCATTCCTGCGTGTTGATTCTGTGTGCCTCTGGGAGCTCATGTGCACTGCGAGTCCTTCATCCTCTTTGTTTGTATTGAACGGTCCTGAATATTTCGCCATCTGTTTAGTAAGGGGTGGGCACGTCACCGGGTAATTATGTGTTTCATCGGCGCAGGCTTCGCATTGCAGACGAAGCGAGGTCATCACGTTGATGAGCACAACGACTACGATGATGTAGCACCTCCCGTGTGAATATCGCGAACGTGCTCGCGATCCGCGGGGGGGCGGAGACGTGTTGGCATGCGGCCTGCCATTGCTACAAGCGGTTGTCGGGCCCAGTGTTCTGCGAAGAACGACGCACGCCGTCCACATTCGACATGCACGCAACGCGCCAGATACATAGTGCGTTCTGTGTGTCCGATGTGGTTGGTGCACGTCGAGGGCGGCACTTGGTGAGCTGACCGCATAGAGTCGCCATGAGCTTCAACGATACAATTGCGAACCATGCGTATGTAACGTGCTTCGTGACCTCAATATGCGTTGCCCTGCCCGCCGTGATCAGACAAATCACGCCAGCGTGTTGTATACCAGGTGGTAGGCATGATCGACCTTCGTGGAAGGCATTGTCCATGATGTATTATGGTGCATGCTGGATGAGGTGAGCGCACTGTTGACGTGCGATGCCTGGTGCTCGTTCTGAGGGTGTAGGCATGATCGACAGTAGTGATAGGCATTGTCAATTATGTACTATGGTGCATGCTTGATGATGTAAGCGTATCGTTGACATGCGATGCCTGGTGCTTGCTCTGAGGGTTTACACCCGAGTATGCGTCATAGGGCAAACGTCATGTGCAATGGGGTGCGCACCGCGCATCAAATAACTCACCCAGCTGCCGGCCACGATCCACTGCACCCGTTGCCTTGTACGTGAAGGATCACAGCCACCACCCCTGGCCAGTCCACATGACTTGTTCGCGGCGGCTTTCGCGGGATTGTCTTTGCAGCAAATCCTCAGATGTGCCATTTTGTTGGTGCTGTGCCGCTGAACTTGATTCGACGCGGGCGCCCAAGGGCCCCGCACCCAGACCTTGCCTCCTCACCCCTGTATCGAGTGCGCGCAGGTGCAAACCTTGCGGTGTCTTCTCGCCCTGCACCCTGCCAGAGTCCCGCCCCTGCGTGCCAGGAGTACTCAGCAGAGTCGACCATCTGCAGGAGCGGCTCCGCCGTTCGCTCCCGTCGCTGTGCGTTGAGCCTCCACTCTTTCGCTCTTCTGCACGTCGCGTCCGTCATGAGGTTTTTGCCGCCGTGGACAGAGCCTCGCCTTCGAGGAGTTGAGAGACGTGGGTTTCTCGTTCCCCGCGGCGGCTGGCAGGAGGTCAGCTGGAGCCGCTGGCGGTAAGCACGGGTGGGTGTTTTCGGCGGAACGCTGGCCGAAGAATTTGTAAGCATAAGCAGCCCCCCAAAGCGAAGCGACTACTGGTGTCCCCACTATTTCGGGAGTCAGCCACTAAGCACGCGTCCTAGAGGAAACCTGTCAGCGCTTGAGAGACGTCGTGGCACCTTTTTTTTTACTTGTGCCGCCCTTGGGTTCTGGAGATTCGTGGCGACTTTCCCGTGGGCCTGGGCTCTGGTTCGAAACATGCCTTATCGTTTTGTTTGTCTCTTCCTCTCGCTCATCCTCCTTAGCCTCCTTCATCCGTCTCCTCCTCCGCCTCCTGCATACGCCGGCCTCCTTCCGGGCGTCGCGGAACATCGCGACAGGGAGCGCGTTTATGTGTGAGTTGACTACTGGATTGGGTTTTCACTAGGCCCCGAAGTCAATACAAGACTACTTGCGGTGCAAAGCCAGTCCCTGGGATTGGGTCAAGAGCTTCGCGTTCTGCGGCGCGAAAAATGACACACATTCACACTACATTGGAGGTGTTTGGGAGGAGGGGGAGGGGGAGGAGGAGGAGGAGGAGAAGCTAGGAGGACTTGGAGTAGATAGCCAGGATACGGGGGACAGTTTCGTTGTATTTGGGGGGCGACCTCCCATTTTACATCGCACTTTCACCGCGCCTACTTTGCAACTTCCACTGATATCGAGGTCGCCTGTGACTTCGTCGCCGCATGTCAAGCTCCCCGTCTGCACACGCCGCCACCATTAGCACTCAGCACAAGAGTCTGCACATCCGCGTCACTATTGTGAGCACGTTTTGACAACCGCAAGCGTTCCGCAGTTTTTTCTCCCCAACGCAAGCTTGCAGTCCCCAGTCGGAGGGAGGGCAAGGCCGAACTCATTATATTCACACGCTTCATGCAGCAGTCGCGGATAAGAGTGAGGGGGCGGGGGGGACGTCGGCAGTTTGCGAGGCTCTGAAGCGGCTCGCCGCAGGCGCCTAATTTTTACAAGTTATACAACGAGCCCGCCGCAGTCGCCGATTTTTTCGTTAAAGCAATATGGGTGGGTCGCGGGGTGGGTCGCGGGTGGGTCGCGGGTCTGGTCGCGGGGGGACGACAACAACAACAGTTACAACAACAGGAGCAGCAACAGACAAGCAAACAAACAAACAAACAAACAAACAAACAGCAACAACAACAACAAACCGCACCGCAGAACCTCATTTCAGCGACGCGCCCATGGACAGTGAATGACCGTTCGGCCCCCTCACTCTGATTTTGATTGGCGCTGGCGGTTGGCTGGGCCAAGTTTTGCGTGGCGCAGTGGGCAAACGCATGCGTCACATAGTCGTTGGCCGTGTTCAGTCTCATTCTCGTCCTCCCCCTCCCTGTCTCCTTCCACTTCGTACAGCCCCTCGTGTTCATCATCCTTCCCCCCAGGACGTGAAACTTGGGAATGCACGGAGACGATCAGCATACGCATACGTCGAGAGACGCATACTATCATCCTTCTCCTGCCTATCCCCCTCCCCCCTCCCCCTCCTCCCAAGTTCTATTGATCCTCCTCGTCTTCATTCGCTTGCTGATTCTCCCCCCCCCCGCCTGTGGGGGCCATGGCGCTGGTCTGCACTCCTCAGTCTGTCGCGCCCGCTCCCCAGACCCCCGACGCCATGACTGTGTCATCGCGTCGACCCTTAGAGGTCTCGACCCTTTCCCCGGGACCGGTTTCTCACCCCGAGTCGTCTTTTGACACTCCCGAGATCCCGAGGGGCCGGGTAAGGGCCCCCAGGGGCGGAAAATAGCGACAAAAATGTCCGTCGTGATTTTGCATTGCTCGAGGGGGCCTTGGGTCCGCGTGCCAATACCTTACCAGCCTGGAACATATCCCTAATTATCCCTATGCTGGACACCTCCTCATCACGATGCCAATCTCAGGGATTCCCTTCTTTCTTTGACGGCGAATCCCTCAGATTGTCCTCGCCTCTTGGCGTGGCAATCTTGGGGGTAGGGATACGTTCGAGGCTGGTAAATACCGCGGCTCCGAGCTTCCGCGCCCCGGGGCGTCGCGCAGGAGGAGGAGGAGGAGGAGGAGGAGGAGGAGGAGGAGGAGGAGGAGGAGGAGGAGGAGGAGGAGGAGGAGGAGGAGGAGAGGGGAGGAGGAGGAGGAGGAGGAGGAGGAGGAGGAGGAGGAGGAGGAGGAGGAGGAGGAGGAGGAGCACAGTGGTGGCGGAGGCCCCCGTGTGCGCCCTCGTGCCGACGGCGGCCCCACGGCGCGGCGCTGCCGGGGCTGGCGCGCGGGGCTGCGGCCGACGCGGCGGGGGTGGCATTCGTGGCCTTGGCATCGCTCGGGCGCGTTTTTGTTGTCTTTAAAAAATATGTTTTTCATTTCGTTTTTATATAATATGTAGTTTGTTTTTTTTTTCTTTTTTGTTTTTCTCCTTCGGCGAGGACCATCGAGGAGCACGGTTGGGTAAGGCCAGCTTGCGAAAGCAGTCCGCGCACGAAGCCGAGGCGGACGCCTGAGCGACGGCGAGGAGTGGGCGGGTGGGTCAGCTGCCCTGGCCGCCATCCGCCTGCTTGCCGCCCCTGCGCGGCCTCCCCGAGCCTCCCCCCGATCCCGCCGTGCCCGGCGCGCGCGCGCAGAGGCGGCGGCGCCGCCGGCGCCCGCCGCGTGTGCGGCCTGGGAGGGGGTCCAGTCCTGGCTCTGCGCGGGCTGGCGGACGGCGCTGCGGGTGGCCTCCGTCTCTGGACGCTGTCCACGACGCGCGACGCCCGAGGCGCAGCCAGGCGCCATCCGCGGCCATGTCGACCTGTGAGGAGCGGCGGCCGGGCGCTCGACCGCTGCGGTTCGAAGTGGATGAGTTGACGCACGAGCGCCTGTTGGTCTGGCCCGTCCGGCGCGGTCGACGGCTTGAGTGCTGGGTGGTCGAGTCAGCCGATGGCGATTGCTACGTTGAGCCCCGCGCCGACTGGGTCTGAGACATGTCGTTTGCTGGCGGCTGCCCCGAGAGCTTCACTGGCAACGTCGCGCGACTTTGGGCGCCCATCGAGGAAGCGTTTCGGCAGATGGTGCTGGGGGGCCGCGATTTTGCACGAGAGGGGCGACGGCTGCCGCGGCTTCCGAGGGCGTTCGGCGCTCACTTCGGTTCAGAGCCCACGGTGATGGTCGACTGGGACAGCGACGCGTCCGGGCTGCACGTTGCAGCGCTGGCTGCGGCCCGCCGCAGGCTGCGAGGCAAGCCAGGCCTGGCGGCCCAGGCGCGTCGACCCGAGGCCCTGGGGACGAGGCTGCCACGCGCCCTGGACATGTCGCCGCTCCCCTCGCCACCGGCGGGGCAGTGCTGCTGGTCGCGGAGCTGACCGCTGGCTGGGAGATCCCGTTGGGGGACGAGCTGGCGCCGACCCCCTCCAACGTGAAGGCGGCGTCGAAGGTGATCGGCCATCGAACCGACGGTCGGCCCGTCCTGTGCGAGCGGGCGCCTGTCGACCAGGTGGAGGCGTGGCGCGCGCAGGCCCATGATGCGACGCGGGCCGCGTTGCAAGGCTCGCCGTCGAAGAGCCGCCCCCATCGGCCCGCGCTGAGCCCGACTTGCGCGAGGCGCTGCTGGCCAGGGACCCGTCCGCGACCGGGGGCGCGGCGACGCCGCCGCGCCTGGTCGCGATGGCGGAGGCCGCGGGTGAGGACGCACGCACGGCCGCGGCCAAGTGGCACGCGTCGTGGCGCTGGGCCTAGGGCGTCCAGAGGCCCTGAACTGCTGCGAGCTGCGCGGGGCCTGGGCGCCCCCGTGCCAGAGGTTCACGCAGCGCGTCGGCGGTCCCAAGACCTGGACATCAAATTTTGCGGTGAGTCTGGCGTGAGCTAGCGCGGCAGGATGCGGTGCGAACTACTGAACTGCATGCCGTCTATCAGCTGGCTTGCTGGCGCGTACGACGCCGTCCACCTGGGGGCCTCGGCTGGCCCCGAGGTGACCTCCCGACGGGTAACTCGCCCAGATCAGCAGGACCAGCCGCGTGGATCCTGGGCAGCCGGCGGTGCGGGGGGCTGGCAAGTTCCCCGCGGGCGGGGGCGCCTTTCCGACGTCGCCTCGTCAGAGCTTCGCAACTTCGCGAACAGGGCGGCGAGAGACGAGGCCGACCGCCCCACCGCCCTCGGCTGTGGCTGGGCGCTGGCCCTAAGTGGCCGCGGCGGCGGCTGCATCAATGATGGAGGAGGGGCTCTGGAGGCGGGCGGCCCACCTCGCGTCGGAGCGGACGACCGAGTTGGCGGCGGCGAGGCGGGCGGCGGCCGCGGGCGCAGGGGCAGCGGCAAAGGCGTGCCCGGCGAGCTCGCGGCTGCCGCCCCGCCAACGCGACGGTCGCATTGCCGGGGGCGACGCCGCCCCTGGGACTAGAAGCAGAGGCCGCGCGCTGCGGGGGGGCGTTCCCGATCCTTGCGCGCTCGAGTTGGACGCCGACATTGCCCCGCACCTCGGAGGGCGAAAGCGCCCGCGGGCGCGGCAGTTGGCGAACGACAATCCAGCTAGTTGCGCGGAGCTGAACGGCGCCCCCCCTCGGCGGCGCCCAGCGGGGCCACGCGCCGTCGCGTGGCCGAGCTTCAGCGCGAGACGCAGCGACGGGCCGCGCTCTTGACGGCAAGCTGGAGCGGTCTGGGCAGCGAGAACGACCCGCCGCGCAAGGCGATCTAGCGCGACCGCAACGGGGCCGAGGCGGCCACGCCCAGCTGGCCCGGGTGACGCGGGCCCCCATCTCCCACGCCTGGATGTCGATCCCGGAGAACCTCAGTGGCTCTCCGAGAACGTTAAGTATTCTGCCGCAGGCGGCGCGGATCCAGTTCGAGAGATTCGAGAACCAGGTGCTGCGTCTACACCGCGAGGCCGATGAAATTAACGCGCGATGCGGGCCAGTCTGCCCCCACATGGACCCCGCCCTGAAGCGCAAGATGCAGGCGCGCTTGGGGCAAGGTCGGCCGGACTCGGATGCCCGCCACTTGTCGCTGCCACGCGGGCATTGTCTTCGACCGGAAGAAAGGGGATCGCCAGCGATTGATTAACCCTCGACTGCCGCCCCGCCAACCGATCGATCAACCTCGACTGCCGCCCCGCCATCCGATTGATCGCGCATCAAGAGCCCACCCAGGGTCGACCTCGCGAGAGGAGATATGCTCAGCCGCGTCGAGCGGTGCGCTCCTCAGGGGGCCTCTGACCTCAGACCCCTCGGAGGAGGGCGGCGCCCTCGCTGGCCCGGACACCTGGCGCGGCGTGAGCGACGCGAAGAAGTGCTTCCATCGGGCGCTGCACGGCTTCTTCGGGCGCCCGCCGTTGCCGGCTGCGGAGCTGGGTCCGGGCTGGCTGGAGGGGTTGCGCCATTGGCGGACGCGCCGGTCTGCCCGCTGGCCCGGGCGCCCCCGATGGGGCAGGCCTGGTGTCGGCACAACGCCCAGATGGCCCCCGCCCCTTGCGAGGCCATGCCGATGTCGGACGTTGGGCCGCCCCTCATGCCAGGCGGACCCGGCGCCGCGGGCCGCCGCGCGCACGACGACTATAGAACAATCGTTGTAAATTATTGTGCTTCCGGGGCTCCCCATCGGAAGGCAATCCGTCAGGCTTTCGGACGGCTTCCACCTCGGGGCCCTAGATCACCATTTTTCGGTAGCGCGTTCGGTGCGGCGCGGTTGTTGCTGTCTCTCTGGAAAGAGACATACCATTATTCAGCGGCGGAGTGCGTGAGAGACTTCCGCTTATCGGCCAAGCTGGCCACCTCCCTCTCACAAGCCCTTTTGTCACCTACTGTGTTCCAGCATTTTTACATGATTGAAGAATCCTGAGCTTATCTGTCGCCAGTCGGCTACCGGCGCTCTGTGTTTGTGAACTTCGGCCTGGGCCCCAATTTGTCACGCGGGGCAGCCCCGCAGTTTGGCCGCGCTCTTTCCGGTCGCAGCGTCGAGTCTCCGGGGCCTTGCTCGCAACAAGTTATTCTTCCCTTCCAAAGGGGGAAAACAATAGCGCATGTTTGTGGGGGCCACGACGTTGCCCTGCCCTCATAAGCCTGTCGTGCCCGTTCCGAATATCAGCACGTGGCGCCAAGCTCCCGCCCTTTCTAACGGTTCTGTGGTACACATTCGAATTGCACCGCGAGCCAGCCCCACGGTTGGGCCACGTTCATTCAGTTCGCAGTGGGAACTATCCAGGGTTCGCAATAGAGTTCGCAATAGGTTATCTCATCGCCTCGGAAAACAGACACTTATGTATAATCAGTTTTACTCGCCTTTTCCTCCCCCCCGTGAGAGGCACGTGGAGGATAGTCAGTGGGCGAATGGGAGAGCAGGATGGAACAACTATGGGGGGGGGGTTCGGTCTCCTTCAACTCCACTTTCTCATATTTCGTCCTCTCCTGCTCTCCCCCCGTTGTCATTCCCCCCTTCGCGTTTTTTTACCTTCCCATGTTGTTCATGCCTTTTCACATCATGCTCCCCTCCATCCCCCCGCCTCCTCCACTTCCTACTCCTCCTCCTCATCCTTCCCTTCTTCTTCCGCCCCCCCGCACCCACGCACACACACACACACACACTCACAAACGCTCGCGAGTGAGCTCGGGAGTGATTGTGCGAGCAAACAGGAGGAAGGGAAAAGAGGGAGGGAACAGGACGGTGGATGGAGGAGGAGGGGACAGGTAGGCGGAGGAGGAGGAGGTGGAGGAGGAGGTGGAGGAGGAGGAGGGGGAAGAGGATGCAAGAGTAACCCCAATACGTATCAACGATGCTACAAAACGTCCTCCCGTCCCTCGTTCCCTCATGTCTCCTACATTTTCAGGCGTTCCATGTACCTGCCGCCTGTTTCCCTCTCATTGTCTGTGCGGCTTTTGTCCATCCGATCCTCTGGTTTTTGTGTCGCCGTTTTGAAGTTGCATCTCCACGGAATAGAGGTGCGGTTCTTGTTGGTTTGGCCTTCCAGTCCGCGGGTCTTGGGGTTTGGGGTTCGTTGCGTTGGACTGTTTTTCATGTCAAGCGCCCCCCATTGAAGGACAATCACACGATGGTCCTGCCCTTCAGACGACAGCCCCGTTTTGGAAAACAGATTATGCCTTCTTCGGGCGAGTTATTCGACATGCTACAGGATCACGAGAAGCCCAGACAGATTTTCCAGCGAAAGTCCCGTTTTAGAACAGGAACCGCCACCCATCCGTGTAGTTGTTGCGCAAGTTTACCGATCTGGTCGCTTCATTTCAGGAGGTCTAACGCAACCGACCTCACGCAACCGACTCCCATTCGCTCAAATGCGACACTTGCTCAATGCACCGGTCATTGAAGTCGATGGGCATCTCGTGCAAGAGCCCGATTTTGATGACGAGCCGCCCTCCGTCCGTATAGCCTTCCTACAACTTCCATGTGTAGTAATTCTCGATGGGTAAGTCTCCAGCGAGAGCCCCACTTTGAACATGAGCCGGCCTCCACCCGTGTAACGGCTGCACAACATTGCAAACAGTTTAGTCAGTGAAATGTGTCGATGTCCGAGGCCGAAGCATTGATTCGACATTGCTTGGGGCTGCATCCCTCGCAATATTTCGAGACGAATGTGCGCGGCGCTGAGGTGAGAGACCTGTGCTGAAGAGGGGGCCAGCCGTCACCCGTGGCATTGGTGCAAGTTTTTCAGTACGAGTGCGCGCGGCGTTCAAGCGACAGTGCCGCTTTTCCCCCCTAGGTGTTTCCTCCGGATTTCTTATGTTTCCCCAATTCGGCTTTGCCTATGGCGGTCTCGCCTGTTTGTGAAGAGAACCAGTGGGTGGGGTGCCTGGCTGGCCGGCGTTCCGTAGGTTCTGTGGTCGTTGCTCCTTGGTTCCATGGTCTTGGTGTTTTGGTTCCTTGGTTCCTTGGTCTTGGTTCCTTGTGTCTTGGTTCCTTGGGCCCTTGGTACTGGTTCCTTGGCCCCTTGGTGTTGGTTGCTTGGTTCCTTGATGTTTGTTCCCTATTTCATAACTATTGGTTCCTTGATTTCTTTTTCTTGGTTCCCGAATTCCTCGCCGCGCAATGATATGTAGTGCCAAGCACTTCCAGGCAATCCAAAGCAACGCCAAGCAAGGCCATTCCATGTGCCGAGCAGCATGCCAAGCCATGCGCCCATGCGAAGGGAAATTGTCCTTGGCTCCTGGTTCCTCGGCTCCTGGGTTCCTTGGTCCTGGTTCCATGGTCTTGGCTCATTGGTCTTAGTTCCTTGGTTCTTGGCCTTGGTTCCTCGGCTGTTGCTGCTCGTTGCTTGCCACCACGCCACGCAATGCTAAGCAACACCAAACGGTGCCGCGCAATCGCAATGCCAGGGAATGCCAGACAATGTTGAGCAATACGCCAAGCATTAGGCCCAGCAGTGCCAAGGAACGTTCCCATGTAATAACAAACTTGCCCCTAATTCTGACCACGCCGAGCTCAGGGAACGGACGCTCCCATTTACGCAATGTTGAAAACGCCGATGTTTCGGAATCGTAGCGTGTTTCTTACCGACGCGCATGTTGGTGCGACAGGGAGGGGCTATGTGTAAGGGGCACGGATGGAAGGGGGGCGGAGGGTGGAGGGGAAGGAGCGTGTGGGAGAAGGAGGGAGGAGGGGGGGAAGGAGGAAAGAAGGAGGAGGGAGGAAGGAGGTGGGAAGTCGTGAAGGCGGCTTTCCCTCGCAACCTCTCTTCCTAATATGATGGCACTCGTGCGCTTCGCTTCGCACTGCTCTCGCAGGACCCGGTGCCAGCACCTGATGCACCGCGACTGCCTCGGTCGGTGGCTGCAGGCGCCTGTCCTTTCTGTGTCTGGTGCCGTCTTCTTCCGCCCGTTGTCATTCTAGTTCAAGATGCATCTCTCTTCGGGTCCTCCCACGGATACCGCTGATCCACGGCTGGACAATCCAGCGGTTTCCACCCCAAGTCCTGTTCAAGTTCAGGCAATCCATATCCCAAAACTTGGTTGCAGCCAGGCGGCTCATATCTCACAGCGCTGCTCCTCGTCGTGATATCGCTGGCATGCGAGGAGCTGGGAATATGAAGACAAGGAAAAATCAGGATCACTTTTTTTTCCGCGACACCCGCCGTGCAACGACGAAGCGGAGGAGGAGGAGGAGGAGGAGGAGCAGAAAGAGAAGGAGGAGCAGCAGGAGCAGCAGGAGGAGGAGGAGGAGAAGGAGGACGGGGAGAGGGTTTGGGGAGGAGGATGAGGAAGAGGAGGAGGAGGAGGAGGAGGAGGAGGAGGAGGAGGAGGAAGAGGAGGAGCAGGAGGAGGACGAGGACGAGGAGGATGATGAGGATGAGGAGGCTTTAGGACCAGTCCTACGCGCCGCCGAGTGAAAAGGGGGGGATCAGAACTACAGACCTCTTGCGGTTATCGCTGGGCAGCAAAAACAGGCTCCTGGCACCACGCGGTCGCACATGTTCCCACGCCCCCGACGTCATGTTTTTTTTCACAGCGTAGACTTCCAGAGGTCTCGACCCATTCTCCGGGACCGGTCTTTCATCCTGAGTCGTTTGTTGATAACCCCGAGGGCCGGTGAGGGCCCCCAGGGGCTAAACACAGCGAAAAACCTGCCGTCGTGATTTTTTCATCACTTCAGGAGGAGCAGGAGGAGGAGGGAGGAGGAGGAGGAGGAGGAGGAGGATGAGAAGAAGGAGGAGGGGAGAGGGTTGGGGTGAGGAGGAGGAGGAGGAGGAGGAGGAGGAGGAGGAGGAGGAGCAGGAGGCCCTCCGATGGCTCATCCCTCGCCCTCCGCAGCCATTCGGGCTCCGGCGTGGCGAGGCAGCCGCGCTTGCTGCTGGCCTCTTCGGCATCGGAGGGCTGAGGCGCCTCTGGTCGGGCGCTGCGCGCTCGCCCCGGGCACCTCACCAGGGCGCTGGTCTTGCAGGGCGCGCGCGGGGGCGCAGGGCGGCAGCTATGAGCACCGCCAGGAGAGACCTGCTGCATGAGATCGAGCTGGAGGTGCAGAAGAAGTGGGAGGAGTCCTTCGGCCGTCTGGGGGTCTGGGGGGGCCCTAACGCCTGGTTCCGGCCAGCAAGACAGGCGGGCAGGTTCGAGGTTCTGGATTCGGCCAGTGGTTAGAAACCTTTCTAGGCTTTCGGGTGCCGTCTCGTGGCCCCGGGACCGTGAAAAACGAACCAGGGGGGAACAGAATTGCACCAGATGGACCCCGGGAGAGGGACCGATTTTGAGTGGATTTGGCGTCGTGCCCCCCCCTGAGATTTTCTGGTATCCCATCCAGTCCAGACCCCCTGGCAGCCTCCATAAGGAGTCGAAGATTTTCGAGACCGATGCTGGGTCGACCGAGGGGACGTCGGATGAGAAGTTCATGTGCACCTTCCCTTACCCGTACATGAACGGGGCGCTCCACATCGGCCATGGCTATTCCCTGACAAAGGCAATGTTTGCCGCTCATTTCCATCGCCTCCTGGGAAAGAAGGTCCTGTTCCCCTTCGGCTTCCACTGCACAGGAATGCCGATTCAGGCAGCAGCCAACAAGCTGAAGAAAGAGTTGGCCGCATATGGATCCCCAATACCGACGTTCCCTGCTGGCCGTCCTGCCCCAGAGGAAAACGCGAAGGGCGAGATCGTTATCACCGATGACGGCGTGAGTTTGGTGTGGAAGCAGCCTGCTGCAACGGGCTCGCTCACTGTGAAGGCGTACAAAGTCTTGATGAAAGCAGGCGACGCCGAGTTCCGAGAAGTGAAAGTCGTGCCACCGCCCGAGAATGGCAAGGCAAAGGCCACTGTGCCCATTGAGGACGGCGGCTGTGTGTACAAGATTCTGACGGAGCTGTCCGACGGCTCATACGCCCCGGAGAGCAAGGAGAGCGACGCAGTGGAGGTCGGCGCCGCCCCGAAGGACACCAAGAAACCCGCTGCTGGCCAAGCTGGAGCGCCGGTCAAGAGGGTGGCTAAGAAGGTCGCCGCGAAAAGCGGGGATGCGGCCTTCCAGTTCGAGATCTTGCTTGCAATGGGCCTGAAGAAGGAGGACCTGCACACCTTCGTGGACCCGTTGCACTGGCTCAAATTCTTCCCTCCGATGGGCATGCGCGACCTGAAGAGGTTCGGGGTGCCCGTGGATTTCCGGCGGTCTTTCATCACCACGTCTGTCAATCCGTATTACGATTCTTTCATACGGTGGCAGTTCGGCCATTTGAAGAAGAAGGAGAAGATCGGTTTCGGCAAGCGCCCCACAATCTACAGCGAGGTCGACCAGCAGGCCTGCATGGACCACGACCGCGCCGAGGGCGAAGGTGTTGCGCCGCAGGAGTACACTGCCATAAAGATTGGGCTTCTTGAGATGCCAACCTCCATGGAGGCTGTCAAGGGCAAGAAGGTTTTCTTGCTGGCGGCGACGCTGAGGGCAGAGACCATGCCAGGCCAGACAAACTGCTGGATTCTACCGGAGGGAACGTACGGCTGTTTCAAGGCGCCGAAGGAAGGCGAGGTGTACGTCTGCTCGGAGAGGGCCGCGAGGAACATGAGCTTTCAAGATATCCTGTTGCCGTGGGGTAAGCCAGAGCTCCTGTGCAAGGTTCAGGGCAAGGACCTCATCGGTTGCAAGGTGGAGATGCCCACGAGCAAGTATCCTGTCGCGCATTTGTTGCCTCTGCTCACCATCAAGATGGACAAAGGCACGGGCATCGTCACCAGCGTACCCAGCGACTCTCCAGACGACTACGCGGCGTTCATGGACCTCATGAAGCCAGCGAAGCGGGAGTTCCATGGTGTGAAGGCTGAGTGGGTTGAGCCATTCGAGTTGGTTCCGATCATCTCTGTCGAGATTGATGGTGAGGTGCAGACGGTCGCGGCCAAGTACATGTGCGAGAAGCTTGGAGTCCAGTCCCAGAAGGACAAGGAGAAACTCCTCGAGGCACACGACGTCTGCTACAAGCTGGGCTTCGACAAAGGTACGATGATTGCGGGCCCTTTCAAAGGGATGGCTGTCAAGAAGGCCAAGTTCGAGTTCCGCAAGCAGATGGTGGACGCAGACCAAGCTTTCATCTATTCGGAGCCAGAAAAGCAGGTCATCGGCAGGAGCGGGGACGAGTGCGTTGTTGCAGGGATCGACCAGTGGTACTTGAAGTATGGCCAGGAGGAGTGGCGGAAGCAGATCGAGGACCACGTCCGCAGCGACAATTTCTGCGCCTACAACGACAGAATCAAAGAATCTTTCGCCGAAGCAATCAACTGGCTGAAAGAGTGGGCCTGCAGTCGTTCGTTTGGACTCGGCACCCGAGTGCCGTGGGACGAACAGTTTGTGATCGAGTCCCTGTCGGACAGCACGATCTACATGGCCTACTACACAGTTGCGCATTTTCTTCAAGGGAACCTGGACGGCACGGAGGGCACGAGCGAGAAGATCGAGCCCGCGGATTTGACACAGGACGTTTGGGACTACGTTTTCCTCGACGGCACGCTGCCGGCAGACTCCAAGATCCCCAAAGGGACCCTGGAGAAAATGCGCAAGGAGTTCCGATTCTGGTATCCGATGGACCTGCGAGTTTCTGGCAAGGACCTGATCCAGAACCACCTGACGATGGCTCTGTACAACCACGCCTGCGTCTGGGAGAAGGAGCCAGAAATGTGGCCGCGCAGCATCTTCTGCAACGGCTGGCTCCTGGTGAACAACGAGAAGATGTCCAAGTCGAAGGGCAATTTCTTCACGTTGACGGACATCGTCAACAAGTACACGGCGGATACGGTCCGGTTGGCGATGGCGAGTGCCGGAGACACCCTTGAGCCCGCGAATTTCGACGAGACGGTCGCCAACAAGGCGTTGCTGTTCATGCCACCCTTCCTGGAAAACTTAAAGGCGGTCGCCAGCGGCAGTGAGAAGCTCGACGAGAGCGAAGATTGTGGGCGCTTCGTGGACCGCTGGTTCGCGAACACCATGAACCGACTGGTCGAGGAGACCAAGGAGTTCTACGCCAAGATGTACTACCGCGAGGCCTGCCGGACGGCGTTCTACGAGTTCAGTGGGAGTTTCGATCAGTACCGCGACATCTGCAAGTCTGGGAAGATTCTTCCGAACAAGGTTCGGGGAAACGTAGGACTCGATTGTGTCGGGATTCGAATGCGCCCCCACTTTTCAATGGTCCTGGCAGGGATTCTGACGGCCCAGGTTTCACGAGGTGCTTGCAGCGGGAGTTCGCAACAAATTTCAGGTTGGGCCCCGTCATGCTTCCGACGGCCAAGTGAGACACACTCGAGCCCCCACGACTCGAGCTCTACGGTCTGGAATTGTTGGTCAGAGTGCCGCGCCGCCGCGTCTGGCCCATCACTCCTCGGCGCACCACGCTATCAATGTCCCAGTCCCCAGTCCCCAAGCGTCAACGCCCTAAGCCTGTCCCGAGCCTCCCGCCCCGCGGAGCGGAGCGGCACGCTGTCTGCTCGCAAGGCACAGCGTGTCGCCGAGGCCGCTGCCGCGACACTCCGAAAGGGTAAAATGGACAGACACCGCGAAGATCGTCGACCTCTGCTACGAGGCTCTGCACCTGGAACCTGTGTCTGGTTCTTCGACTCGTGTGTGTGTGTGTCTCCTGGGGCCCCTTTGCCCATGTCTCCCCGCAAGGCTCTGACCCTGAGGTACCTGGAGTGGCAGATGATCATCCTCTCCCCCATCACCCCGCACTTCTGCGAGCACGGGTGGGGCCTCCTGGGCAAGGCGGGCTCCGTGCTCGATGCCCGCTGGCCCACCCCGACGGCCGCCGTGGACCCGGCACTGGTCGCCCAGGGCAGGTACATGTACGAAAAGGTTTGAGGGAGAGAAAACGCCATAAACATTAACGTTTGGCGCTCCGCGCTGATTCCTTGGATCCGCGAGGGCCCCCCCCCCCGGCGGCGCCTCCGGCGCCGCCCCCGGTGCGCTCCGCGCGCCAGGGAAGGGGGTCCGGCGTAGATCCAAGAATCCGCGCGGAGCGCCGTATGTGCATGGCGTTGTTATTTTTCTTCTTCTAAAGGTGCCGCACGACTTCATCAAGCTCCAGGACCGGGCCGCACGAAAAATCAGAAGAGGAGAAAGTGCCGATAATTTCCGCTACGCTTGCCTCGTAGAGCCTCCTGGGAGGCCCCCGTCACCACCGCTGGACTTGCTCCGAGATTATGTGATCAGAGTGCACCCCTGGAGAGGTCTGAGGAGCAGCGGTACAGTGCCTTTTGGCTTCCCCAAAAATCGGAATGAGAAAGTCTAGGCTTCCTAGATGGGGTCGGAGTAGATGGGGTCGGAGGATCGCGCCGCATCGCCGATGCATCGGCGATGCATCGGCGATGCGACTCGATATGGGGCTCGATTTTCTCCACGCCGACGTCGCGGATGTATCGCCGACGTCGCCAGTGCATGGCCGACGCATCGCCGATGCATCGGCGATGCATCGCCGATGTATCGGCGATGCGGCGCGATCCTCAGACCCCGTCTACTCGGACCCCATCTGGGAGGCTTGTAAATTGGGAAAGGAGGGGGGGACGAAATATGTTGCCAGGCGCTGCCCACGGTGCACGGACGCACCTTTCTAGCGCCGAAAGAGGCGGCGGGAGAACCAGCTCCCCAGGCGTCTCTTCACTACCCTTGAGTCGGGCCCGAACCGCTACAGGAGGAACATTCAAAAATGGTAAAAAGAATAGTCTGGGGGCGATTTCTGTGGCATGTTTTCATTATTTTTGGCGTATGTTTGACTACCTCTTATTATTCGTCCAGAATCCGCCTGTAGGGGGACAGGCCCGACCTAACACCAACCCCCCTTGGCCCAACAGGAGAAGGCGGAGAAGTCCAGCAAGCCTCCGGGCAAGGCCGTCTCTTCCACCGTGTACGTGGCGAAGGAGTACCCCGAGTGGAAGCTGAGCGTTCTGGCGAAGATGCGGGCGAGGCTGTCGCTCGGAGAGTTGCCGCTCATCTCCCAGGAGGAGCTGCAGAAGGACGACCTGGCGAAGGCGCAGTGGAAGGCCGTCATGCAGGAGCTCATGCAGGATGCCTCGCTGAAGCCGGTGTCCAAGCACGTCGGACCGTTTGCGGCCTTCAAGCGCGACGAGGCCGTGCAGTTCGGGGCGTCGGCCCTGGAGGCCAGCGTGCCCTTCGACGAGCTCGCCCTGCTGAAGGAGAATGTGGAGTATCTCAAGGATTGGCGGCGCGCGCAAGGGGGTAGGGGGGAGCGGGTAAAACGTCTTAGAAGGAGGCTCTTCCTTAGAAGGCGCCGGCCCTGCATCGATAGGCAGGCAAGGCCCGCGCCTTCTAAGAAGCAGGGGTGCTTCTGAGAAGCCTTCCCCCCTCTCCCTACCCCCCTCTGCGCGTGGCTTGAAGGACAAGCTGAAGGTCGACATGACGGTGATCCTGGTCGAAGACTGCACGGATGCGGCGCACAAGGATGCGGCGGCGACCGCGCAGCCCGGCGCACCCGCCATCAAGTACACCGTCGAGGCTGGCGGCAGCGGCTACCCGAAGGGGGCATGAGGCCGACCGCCGCCGACGCCACCCGGCTCGCGGCCGTCCGTCCCCTCCGGCAAGGCCATGCCACTTCCTCGCTGAGATCAGCCTGGCGGGGGAAGGCGCCTCCCAAGTTTTGAAACCTAGCCTCACACGTGTTGGGTGTATGGAGCTGCGCATGGAGACTCCATTGCCAGCCTCTTTTCACAGCGTCTCCCATCCGAGCCATGCCGTTGCCGACTACACCTTTATTCCTCTGCGTGGCCTCATTGTTGCCTGGTCCTTGTGAGTCGCCGTCGAGGACAGCTCCATGGAACTGCCGGCTTGTAGTGCCCGTGGACAGCGTTAGGATGCGAGGTGTTGCTACTCCTCCCTCATACTCCCTCGTCCTTCGACGCATTCGATGGAAAAAGGGGGAGGGAGGAGGGGCAAGCCAGTGGCCAGACCCTTTCCCACATGATCCAAAAGAGAAGGATCGAGCCCAACCCCACACAACCTATCCTCCCCTCCCCCAGGGGCGCGCCTGCAAGTCCGCCGCGCGGCATTCGGACCCTCCTCTCCCCCCCCCCACACACACACTCCTCCCTCCTCCTCCACCTCCTCCTCCTCCTCCTCCTCCTCCTCCTTTCTCTCCTCCTCCTTTCTCTCCTCCTCCTCTCTTCTCCTCCTTCTCCTCCTTCTCCTCCTCTTCCTCCTCCCCCTCCTGTCTCTCCTCCTCCTGTCTCTCCTCCTCCTCCTCCTCCTCCTCCTCCTCCTCCTCCTCCTCCTCCTCCCTCCTCCTCCCCCCTCGCTCCCCGACCCTCCCTGCCATCCCTCCCTGCCTCCCCCCCGCGAGCCTCGAGCGGAGGCCAGCCACTACTGCCCGCTCTGCCGCGCTGACGTGGAGGAGCCGGGCGAGGCGGAGTACCCCTGAGCCGTCGCGGGTGCGGGGCGCTCGGTGCCCCTGCGCGCCTCAAGCGCGGGGGGCTCCCCGCCGCGCGCACTCCTCGCGGTCGCCCCCTCCTCCTCCTCCTCCTCCTCCGCCTCCTCCTCCTCCTTCTTCCTTACTCCCTGCGGTCGTCCCCGCCCGCCCTCCTCGCAGTCGCCCTCCTCGCGGTCGTCCCCGCCCGCCTTCATCGCGGTCGTCCGCCTCGCTGTCGGCCTCCCCGCCCCGCCCTCCACCGCGGCCCTCCTCGAGGGGAGGAGGAGGGGAGGAGGGGAAGGGGGAGGGGAGGAGGGGAAGGGGGAGGGGGTAAGCCAGGTGCGCGTGCGACGCGCCACTCCGACATCCTGCCCCTTCCACCCATCCCTTCCCTTCCCGCTGCGCTGGTGTTTCTTCTCCATCCGCCGACGGGCATCCCGGCGGGGATCTGGACCCCCCCAATTACCCCACCGTGTGATGTGCAATCAGAAGGGGAGTTGCGTAGGTATATTCATTGGAGGAGGAGGAGGAGGAGGAGGAGGAGGAGGAGGAGGAGGAGGAGGAAGAGAGGAGGAGGAGGAGTACCAGAGTGACTCCAAAACGCATAGGCGCTGCTGCAGCACATCCTCCCGTCTAGCGTCCGTAGCGTCAGCGTCAATGACGAGGGGAGATTGGAAGGAGGAGGAGGAGGAGGAGGAGGAGGAGGAGGAGGAGGAGGAGGAGGAGGAGTCGGCCCCCCAATGGAGGGCACGGAATACCGCCAAGGCGAGATCCGTGCGAGGCAGGGGCCTAGGGTCGGTGGTCGTCCAGGATCTCTTGCTTCAGGTTCCCCGATGAGGGTCTCATGCTTCTGTTTGTGCCCTGGGCGTGGCCGCTTGGTGAACCCACCGACCCTAGTACCCCCGAGCTCCAGTAGCAACCCTAGCCTGGAGGGTATCCTGACCTCCCCCCTCCGTCCTCGAGCGAGTATGCGAAGACATGTGAGAGCATAGCGATGTCGTGTCGTCTCTCTGTCTCGTCCCTCAGCCGAGCGAACTGCCTGCGAGTGGCCGCGCACGCTTGCCGCCGCCGCCCGCTGGCCATACAGCGGCTTCAGTCTTCCTAAACCGCGCGCCTGGAGGGTCCGTAGCGATGGAAACAACAGGAGGAGGAGGCGGAGGAGGAGGAGGCAAGGAGGAGGAGGAGGAGGAGGAGGAGGAGGAGGAGGAGGAAGGAGGAGGAGGAGGAGGAGGAGGATTGGGAAGGGGGGGAGGACGAGGAGCAGCAGCAGCAGCAGCAGCAGGCGAGGCAGAGACGAGGAGGCCCTTGCGGTGGAGGCGGCTCGATGGGGCAGGGCGCCCGGAGGGACAACAAAACAATCGGGCAGGCAGAGGCAAGCAGGGCGACGGGAGGCGACTCGGCAGGGGCCCCGAAGGCGGCCAGAGCGCAGACCACCTGCCCGGCAGCCGAGCGCGCCACGCCTCGGCACCGGGCCCCCAGAGCCCGGCGCGGGCGCCGAGCCGAGCCCGGCAAGCGGGAGGGGAGGAGATTCGCGGGGCACGGAGGCGAGGGGGGAGGAGGAGGAGGAGGAGGAGGAGGAGGAGGAGGAGGAGGAGGGAGGAGGGAGGAGGAGGAGGAGGAGGAGGGGGCGAGGGGGGGGAGGGAGGAGGAGGAGGAGGAGGAGGAGGAGGAGGAGGAGGAGGAGGAGGAGAAGGGCGAGGGGTGGAGGAGGAGGAGGAAGGAGGAGGAGGAGGAGGAGGAGGAGGAGAGAAAGGAGGAGGAGGAGGAGGAGGAGGAGGAGGAGGAGGAGGAGGACGAGGAGGACGAGGAGGACGAGGAGGACGAGGACGAAGAGCGCCACATGCGGACGCGTAAGGTCTGGCCAACGTAAAAAGGAGGACGAGGAGGAGGAGGACGAGGAGGAGGAGGAGGAAGAGGAGGAGGAGGAGGAGGCCTCTCCATTACCCCCTGCGCTCGCTGCCAGCCCTGGGCCTCGATCCCGTGTATGCAGGGCGCGTTTCTCACGTACAGTGGGGGCCCATGCCTAGAAACACCCTTCTTGCCTCCAGGGTCCCTTCGTTTCTTGGGCTTCGATCGCTTGGCCGTGGAAAGCGTGGCGCTCCCACGCCAAATATCGATGGACGCCCTGGGGTCTCAGGGTTGGGCTTCTTGTGGAAGGTTTCCTGTGGACGGGCCTCCACTGTGTGCCGCGCGCGGAGCGTATCCGTGCGACCGTGTGTCCGCGGGGCCGCGCTCCAGAATGCAGACCGCGACGGCGTGGATGTGTCGGAGGTGGACAGAACCCCCAACAGTGACACGTCGAATAGTGAATTGTCCGTTTTCGGTTCTCGAGAGGGCACCGTGGCCGTCATTTTCCGGGCTTGCGCCCGCCAGGCTTGGGCCTCAGGTCGTTTTCTTTAAACCACGTTCTACTAAAGGGGGGTCTGTCCAACCCCGAATGTGGACACGTTCGCCGCTCGTGAAGCACAGGACAGGAAGCCAGCAGCACGCTCCACAGTCTCGTGCACCCAGAGGGGCCGACTGACGGTTTCGATTCAGACGCGGCATCCGTCGGGGGCGGAAAAGAGGGGGGTGATGACTAGGGGGGGTGGCTATCATGGCGGGGGCCATGATATTTCCCCAGATTTCATGGCGCCTCTTCTTATGTCAATACGTCCCTGCCCCCCCCCCCCCCCGCTGGGCCGCGCACATGCTGCGGGTCATCATTTGCACCCCCCCCCTCTTGGACACCCCCCTCTTGGCCGCTCCCGAATCCGCTTTCGGCCTGAGATTGCGTAGTGTGGGTGCGGCTGTGGGGAGATACAGGTTCGCTCCTGGAAGAAAAATTGCAGAACGACGCGAGCTCCAACCAGTGCCCTGACCCTGTGCTACGCCTGTGCACCACGGGAGCAATTCCAGAGAGTGCGAGGCGCTGTCGCGCTTCTACAAGCCTTGGGAGAGCACCGCTCCAGTTTTGTGTTTCTGTTACTTCAGATCTCCACGCGCCCGACCTCCAGTTGTCGTGAAACGAATGTGGACGGCTGTTTCCCAAGGTTGAGCCCAGGAGGCTAGCCCCTGGCCCCGGTCACGACAAATACCCACGACGCACACGTTCGAATATGGAGCCAGAGGGGATCAAAGCGAGATAGTTTCAGGACCTGGACCGTAGCACATGGCGACTCCGAGTCACAACTGTGCAATCTCAAACTTGGCCCCCCAGGCCCTTCTGCTCCCGCTTGGGGCAGGCAGGACGGCTTCCTGAACCTGGGGTGCCCGGCATTGTGGCGCTCGCACGCCACGCCCCAGTGGTCAACAGCTGCAGGCCCGAGGCCCGACGCGCCGAAGGGGCGTGACTGCACCAACGGTTGATGGACAGAGTCTTGTGTGTTATCATATGATTTCCCCAACCATCCTGTGGTGTTGGGTCCTCGTTTTGAAGAGACAGCGCCCCGCGTTATTCTTCTTCCTTCATTCCCTCCTCCCCCTCCTCCTCCCCCTCCTCCGTAGCCGTTTTGGCTCAAGATGATTCCGCCCCGTGGCAGAGCACGGAGACCCTTGGTCCAGGGACAGCTAAGGACTTGCGTTCATATCCCCGCCTTCCACTTCCCCTGGTGGTCGAGCTTCATATTCGGCTCAGCGTTCGCCCGCTGCTGCCTCCACGCGCAATCGACCGAGGCTGGCGCGGGCCTCAGTCACACGTAATGGGAATCAACGGCGCTGCAGCACCACCGGCCGCAACCGCGGGCAAGAGTGAAACAGATGGGGCCGAACGGCAACAGGACCCTTGGCATGAAGGCGCCACACTGTTCGCAAGGCCCAAATTCGCGGTGTTGGACCTACCCGCTCACGTTCGAAAGCAGCTGGAGGAGACCATGGCCGCCCAACTCGCCGACGCCAGCGCCAAATTCGAAGCCACAACACGTGCCGTCACGGCACAAGCCAGCCAAGACTTCGTCGCCTCCATCACGAGGATCACGTCCGAGCTCAGCCAACGTCACGCAGCCACCGAACGCAGCATTTACAGCGTCACGCAGCGCACCAACGACCTCGAGAAGCATAATGTCGAACTCAAGACCGCCGTCGCCAAGCTTGAAGCCATCGTCACAGCCGCAGAAGCACGGGCACCCGCGCTCAACCTCGAGGGCCTCGGCACGCGGGACAGAGACCCCGACCCTACAACGCTCTGGTGCAGCAGCCCGCAGGAGTTCAACCAGCCCGAGCTCGAGCGCGCCCTCGCAGAATGGTTCGCCAAAGCCGAAATCACCAAAGACATGGTCATATTTAACACCGTCGGCCCCGCCAAGCGTCACTCGTTCCAGGTCAGCGGCGGCATCGTCGTGGCAGAACCGCGTGCTCAGCGTCTCCACAGTGCTCTCCGCAACGTAAAAAAATGGCGCAGGTTTGCTATCGTTCTGGGCAACATTGTAAATGTTCCTCGATATGCATCAGCAGACAAAAGCCCGAAAGCCGTTCGCACAAACATTCAAGTCAAACGCTTCGCCAAAATCATGCAGAACGCCATGCCCGACGTCGACCTCCACACGCACAGGGTTCTGGGTTACATAGCTAATCGTGGGGACGTTCTGGTTCGTTTGCTCATCGGCGCCCATGCTGACGCGCTCACCAGGCTTCAGTGGTCTAACGCCGCCATGGACCGCGGCTTCCCCGAAGACAAACAGCGACAGATCAACGCCGAGTTCGCCTCCAACTTCGCGGACGCGTGCAAACCGTTCCACTCGCCCGTGATGGTCCACGATATTCCCGTCACCAACGCTGGCGGCATCGGCTTCTTCGTCCCGTACGACCAGAGAGAACGTCAGCTTTCACCTGAACATCGGTCTCAGACCAGGTTCGAGGTCACCATCCATGGCCGCGCCGCTTGGCAGCGCGTCGCGGATGCCGGCCTCCAGTGCGAAGTCACCATCCTCAACATCCACAACTGAAGCCTCACGCCAGCCGACCGTCTCCACCTTCGCGACCAATGGCAAGCCCTCCTGCAACATGATGGCGAACAGCCTCAACATCGCCTCTTC